TTCCTTCCTTCCTTCCTTCCTTCCTTCCTTCCTTCCTTCCTTCCTTCCTCCCTCCCTCCCTCCCTCCCTCCCTCCCTCCTTCCCTTCCTTTCTTCCTTCCTTCATTTCTTCCGTCCTCTCTTCCTTTCTTTCATCCATTTTGAGGCAAAACCTTCCTTTGTAGCTGTAACTGGCCTAGAACTTGCTATGTAGACCAAGCTGGCCTTGAACTCATAAACATCCACTTGCCTCTGCAGAACTCAGGTGTTCTCCAAAGGACTAAAGTAGTAACCAGGGGACCATGAACAGGCTGAGGAAAAAGATATTGTTATTTCAGACACCAAGTGAGGTCTAGTTTACTATCCACTATTGCCATTGCAACCACAAGAGTTAGCAGCAACAGTTACCAATGGGGGCCACAGGTGTTTCCTGGCATCAGGAGATGGCATTTGTGTTTTCTATTCTTAAAGATGTACAATTCTACCATAAAATATTTTCATATTTACATTAAATTGTAATCTTTTCCATTGTTATCTTACATTTTCTGTATTTGCACGATTTTATGCAAAGCTGTGACCACAGGCCTCACTAGACTGTTAAAGGGGTCCATGACATAGAAACGGGCACAAAGCTCTGCTTGGTCCTGAAGACGAATTATTTGGACAGGATTTAAAGAATTCTCCAAGCCAGGGTGGCGGTGTGCACCCATAGTTCCAGCACCTGGGAGTGGAGGCTGGAGGGCCAAGATTCCAAGTTATCTTTGGCTAAATATTGATCCAGTAAAATCAAGAATTTTCCAGGAAATGACTTTGTTGCTTCGTAGTTTTGGCTGTCCCTGTTCATAGCTTGGGCTTAGAAGCTGCATCCGAGGTGGTGTGATGGCTGCGTTTACAAAGGTTATGATTAATTAGAAGCCGTCCAGAGACCATGGGAGTCGGGCGGCAACTCTTCCCCCATTCCTCGTGGTCTCTGAAGGCCCCAAAGATTGCTAGAAAGGTGGGAGACCTGGTTCCCGGAGCTACATGGGAATCATGGGTCAAAGTAGGGTGAGAACACGGAAAACTGACAGAGAATTGGTCAAGGATTTCTCAGGCGGTGAGAAGGAGGTGGTTTCAACACCTGGTGGCTAGGAAGTCAGATTTAACCAGCCAAGGTGTAGGGCAGGGATGGGGAGGGGGCAGCAGAGGTGAGCTTGGCTGGGTTCTAGGCTTCTGCACATTCCTTTTGCTCCGAGTCCTCTGCTGGCAGCTGGGTTTCATCTTGGGCATGTTTAGATGCTGAGAAAGAAGAATGGGACCCCAATACTCCTGTGCTCAGAACTAATTGTTCTCTGTTCCTCAAAGGAGGCTGAACCTCTAGACACAGTGGCCATGTCTTCATGGGAAAGGCGACTCCACCGGGTCAAGTGTGCACCATCGTGTAAGTTAAGCCTTCCTGCGGCCCATGAATGCAGAGTCTGGGAAGGCCCCTTTCCATGCTTGGAGTCTCTTCTTGTCTTGCCCAGCTTGGTCTGCAGGGCCTCTCTGTGTCCTGCTCACATCCCTGAGGCCTGACTCCCGCTCACAGTGTCTGTGAGATTGCTGCCTCTTTGATGGTCACCTCACACTCTGGTCTTCCTACCTTCTGTGGGATGGCCCTTCCGTGTGCTAATTCTTGTGCTCTCTCTCCTCAGCTCTCCTGTACCTAAGGCCTTCTCACCCCACCCCACCCCACTCCATTACGTCTAGTCACATGTCCTGTGTCTGTGCTGCTCCCATCAGAGTCCCATGCTTATGTCCTGTCTATAACTCCTTCCCTCGCCACAGTCTGTCTCCTATCTGTGGTCGTTTTCTCTGCCGTGTTTTCATGCCCATCCCGAAGCATACTTTGGCATCTTCTCCTCGAACAGTTAATGCACAAGGTCTCAAGGTGGTCTCGTTTTCTCTGCCGTGTTTTCACGCCCATCCCGAAGCATACTTTGGCATCTTCTCCTCGAACAGTTAATGCACAAGGTCTCAAGGTGGTCTCTCCCTGACCTCCCCCAACCCCCGCAAAGCCTTTATCATCTTGGTCTTGCTGTCTTACCTGCTCTGCTAGCCAGTAGCTTAACTTAGGGAACTGAAGTTCCAGGTCAAGTGGCCTCAGGGTCACTTCGTGCATACTGAAGGCTCTAAGACTGCACCTTGAATATTCGTCAGAAAGTGCACTGTGCTGTGGGTGCACTGTGCTGTGGTCTACACAGCCTGTGTGACACCCATCAGGCTGGCTGCCTGGGGCAGGGGCTTCACTTCTCTGGTGCTTGCTGGGAGGAGGGGTGTGTCTTGGTTCTGCTGGTCTGGTACAGTGGTTAACGCCCCTGTGTCCCTCTTACAGACTTGTTCTCCTGCTTCAACGGCGGCGAGTGTGTACACCCAGCTTTCTGTGACTGCAGACGCTTCAATGCCACTGGACCTCGTTGCCAGTTGGGTAGGTCTGATCTCTCCAGCCCCAGGAGGGACCATGGCTTCAGAGAAGCTGTCGGTCCAAGACCCAAGAGCAGTGCCGTGCCCGGGGAGCAGAGGTGGCTCTGCCAGATCTGGAGCCCACCAACCTCCAGCACAGTACTCATACAGATCTGGGCTCCATTTGCCTTGTCTCAGTGTATAACGCCGGCCCTGAGCGGGACAGCATCTGTCGGTCCTGGGGGCAGTCCCACGTGGAGACGTTTGACGGGCTGTACTACTACCTCTCTGGAAAGGGCAGCTACATGCTGGTGGGACACCACGAACCTGAGAGTCAGAGCTTTTCCATCCAGGTGAGGCCTCCGCTCTCCGCCCTGCTTGTCCATGCAGGCTCCACCAGACCCTGGGAGCTGGGGAAGGCTGGGACCTTTCTTCTCCACTTTCCCCAGCTCCTGGGACGGTGCTAAGCCGCTGCTCACCCACTTACCCCTGGCTGCCTCTGGCCGTTTGTCTAGTCAGGCATCCATGGTGCATACTGTACCTTTTCCAGAGTGTGAAATTTCACAGTGGGATGCCTTCAGGACGGCAGCACAGATGTGGCCTTTGTCCTTAAGGAACCTCCACTTTAATGGAGAAACCACCACAAACGATAAATGTGTTAGTTATTTCAGGTGCACTCGGCCCTGTAGTGTCCCGGACACCTGATCTGGATACTGTGAAGGGTGGCAATGACAGGTTGCTTATAGGAAGTGACATTTATTGAGATAGAAAGGGAGGCTCACTGGAGATAGCCAGGAGGAGAGAAGTGGGGTTCGGGGTAGCAGAAGGCATTCTAGATAGGAATGTTCATGTTAAGGAAGAAATGGTGTCTCAGAGCGCTTGGCGGGAATCTTGGGTGATCTTATTATGTACACTTCCTTCCTCTGAGAGCCTTTCTGTGTCTCCTGACATCTTAAGCATCAGAGGAGATGCTCTGGAAAAAAGCACCCACTCCACCCCCCACCCCCACAGGTTTCTTACAAAGGCTTTTGTCTGGTGGATCTCCTTTCCTACACGGGACGTCCCTGGGCCAGACCATCTTTTGGGCTTGTTCCCTGAACCTAGATGAGTGTCTGGTCAAAGTCTGTCTTACACCTGAATGCTGTATGAGAGTTGGCTTCCAGCAGACCTGATGGGCATTTCTGATGAGGACACCTTGGCAGGGATAAGATTAGTGAGTGCTTAGTGCTTGTTCAAGGTCATCTCTTCCTGACTGGCTGTGAGTCTTCTGCCTTAGACACAGACTGAAGGCAGAATGTCCTGGATGTCTAGGTACCATGGCAATTGTCACTTCCCACTTCTCGATCTATCATATCTCAGAGTATGCTGCAATTACGTAGATGTCACATGAGTGAGTTATATAATCAATGTAGTGAGTTACACCCTGCGCAGAAAAGGAGAGAATGAAAGGATACGCATGTGTGCGCACACACACACACCCCATTAATATGAAGATGTTGAAGAACTTTGTTTTTTGTTTATATTAACACTTCATTCTGTGAGTCATGGTCAGAAATGCTTGGTCTGGGTATAGTGGCACACACCTTAAATCTCAGAACAGAGGGATGGAGGGACAGAGGCAGGTGGATCTCTGTAGTTTGAAGCTAGCTTGGTCCCTGGCTGGCCAGGGCTACATTGTAAGACACTATTTGAACACAACCAGCAATGCTTGAAAAACATTAACTTAGAACAGGGGTGGCTTTCATAATTCTCCTTCTCAGTAGAAGAGTCTTCAGGCTTGTCCACCTTGTCTAAGGGAAAGGGGGTGGAATGTTGGCTCCTGGGGAGTGGCACCTGGGGAGTGTCTCCACCCATACCAGGTCACCTTTGGAAAATCTTTTCCCCAAGCCTTAGAATCCTGTGCTGACCTCTGGATCTATGGCCCTTAAAGCATGAGTTCTTGAATGGGGCCAGAGAAGATGCACACGTAATGAGCAGTTTAGGAAGGTCTCTACATGTGCAGGACAAAACTAGTCTCTCCATGCCAGGAGTGTATGGAGTATAGAGCGTGTGCATCCACAGTGTCTGTGAGCATGTGTGTCTGGGTGTGTGCATCTGTGCGAGGCAATGTGAATGCTTATCTTGCCTTTTGATTCAATGGACTTTGGAGATACTCCAATGATCCGACCCATTCAGATCTGGGTTAGAATTCCATCTTCTTCGTTTGCTAGTCTTGTGTGCATGTGGCCTTCACCCCAAATCTCTTTCTCAGACAATCTTGAAGTACAGGCAGCCAGAGCTTTGCCCCTGTTGCAGTGTTGGAGAACAGTGGGAAGGGCCATGGAGGAAAAGTGTTCAGCACACAGGGGTCCCAAATCATCCCATATTGGTGGAGTGAAGCTCAGGCTGGCCTGTGGCAGTTGCTGCAGACTGCCTTCTAAATACCTGACCCCCCAATCAGGTACACAATGACCCACAATGTGTCTCTGCCCACTACACCTGCCTGAGGTCTGTCAGCCTCTTCCTTTCGGGTGAACATGAGATCCGCCTGGCCAAGGAGGTCACCCATGGAGGTGTAAGGTAACTATGTCCTTTCACCTCCCTGATGGGCAGAGGATATCTGTCCCTGTCGAGCTGAAGGAAAATTGGGAACTAGGGACAGACATCATTTCCCACTCTAGGGCAGGGGTACACACTTGGTCAGTGTGTGTCTAGCCTGTGGCACTGGCAAATGGGTAAGTTCCTCCTGGTTCTCAGCAACTATCAGATGCAGTGGGTTTCCTGACAGATCTTTAGGAAAACAGAAAAGTTTCTAGAAAGCTAAGAGTTTCCTACTAGAAATCTTTCTTGAGCTCACATACAAATTCCTCTGAAGAGACACTTACATACATACTTAGCTTTTTCTGAGGACAAAGGGCCATTTTGAATGAAAGGTATCATGCTGGACCATCAGGGCTTCCTAGGGACCACATGACCCCAAAGTGAGCCCCTGTCTGAAATGTCCTTCTTCTCTTCCTCAATGTTCTTTCCTTCTTTGCTGTCTGATGTCCTCAGTTGCTTCCCCAAACTCCCCCACCCCAGGCCCAGCACCTGCCCTGACCTTCTAGACCTAGAAGCCTGGTGCCAAGCTTCCTGGAGCAGAGAGAGAGCCTGTAGCCAGAGGGGTTTCTCCTGCGAATCAAGTGGTGTTCAGACCTACCCCTGGCTGGATGTTAGCTTCTGGGTAGGAGCTTCCAGATTCCAGACATCAGGGCTGTGAAACCGAGAGGAGGCAGGCACAGTAGGGCTCCTCTCTGTTCTCAACCTTCTGTTCTTCCTCTCCCCCCTTCTCTTGCCATTCTTCCTGTTCCGGACCAACACAGTAAAATGAAAGCCTTCTTCTATGGTTTCATCTCTCTCCCTCTCGTCTATGAGCAAGGAGCTGGTGGGTTGATTCTCTCAAGATTTATCCCCGCCAACCACATTGTGATTTCGAAAGACCCTGTGAGGATGAAAGAACCCTGATGCACTTAGGAATTCTGGGAACTTGGAGGGTGGGGACATAAAGAGCTCATATCACTCAGTAGGGGTGGTTGGTCTTGGGGTGAAGAACAGGGCCCGTGGGAGTTGTGTGGACACCCTGAAGCCCTGGGCTTTGCTTTCAGGCTCCAGCTGCCGCAGGTGGTGGGGGGAGTGCAGCTGCAGCAGCTGGCTGGTTATGTCATCGCGCGGCATCCACTGGCCTTCACGCTGGCCTGGGATGGGGCCTCAGCCATCTACATCAAGATGAGCCCAGAGTTTCTGGGCTGGACACATGGGCTGTGTGGGAACAACAATGCTGATCCTCAGGATGACCTAGTGACCAGCTATGGTGAGTCCAAGGGAAGGTGCCTTGTGGGATATTTTCTGGGGGTGGAGACTGGGTCAAGGTGGAAGCAGCTGCTCTGGTCAGACCTCTGATGCATGGCCATTTGTGGTAGGGAAAACCCAATGAGGGATAGGGCTTGCTTTTAAAGCTGTCATGTTAAGCATGTTCTCAGCCATGTTCTGGGCCTCAATCTCCTCAACTGTAAAGGATTCATGATAAGAATCCCGTCTGGGGTTGTGTGTAGATCCACTGCACACTTTGCTAGGCGATTTTGACCTCACAAGGTTTCCAGAGGAAGTGAAATCTGATGACCAAAGAGAACCAGGAAGAGAAAAGCCAAGACTGGAGCTGAAGTCTCTGATGGACAGGTTGTGAGAGGAGTTAGTGAGGCTCAGGGCACAGCATGGTGGCCCTGGCAGAAGGTCAAGGGTGCCCTTTTGAGTACCCACCGTGTGCTAAGGACTTTGCAGTTGTAGTTCCTGGCAACAGGCTCCCTGGGGATTAGGGCTGTGCTCTGCACGTGGGGAAACTGAGGCTAAGATGGGCGTGGGTGCTTGTTGAAGCTTGCATACTGGCCCTTTTGACTAGACCATCTTACCTCTGTTGAGTGTGAAGTAACTCTGAGACAGTGCAGGTTTTAGGACATCCTCATCTTGTCTGATGAAACAACCTTCCTGAGAAACGGTCTCAGCTGGGAATGCAGACAGGATGGGAGCACTGGAGGCTGGACTCTGCCTCAGCTGGGACTCCAGACAGGATGGGAGCACTGGAGGCTGGTCTCCTCTTTCTCTGCTCACATCCCGCAGTCCAGCCACTGGCCCATTTTGTCAGAGCCCTTATTTCTCTGTAGGGAAGCTGACTGATGATGTGGGGGAGTTTGTGCACAGCTGGCAGGAGCAAGCCCCCAGCAGCCCTTCAGGGCCTGTGACTTCTTCCATGCCTCGACCACCATGCCTGCAGCAGAGCCCAGCATCCATGCAGGTCTGTGTCCTAGGGAAGACCTACCCCCTCCCGCATCCTCATTAGCAAGCTCTTGGCTGCAAGGGCCCAAAATGGCTCGAACCCATTTCTCTCTGTCTTCCTGTTGTTTAAGTTGGGATTGAATCCCTGTGGGGATGGTGAAGGAGAGCCATGTTGTCAGCCCAGCCCAGCTCCTGCCTCTACCCCACCCAGGGTGTGTATGAGCGGTGTGAGGCCCTGTTGAGACCTCCATTCGACGCCTGCCATCCCTACGTCAGCCCTCTGCCCTTCACAGCCAGCTGTACCAGTGACCTCTGCCAGTGAGTGGGCAGAGGGTAGGTGGTATTGGGTTGTGGGGAACACCTCCCGGCATTAGGATGAGGCCTCAGGGTCTGGGTCACCGAGCCTAATAATTCTTGGCCCTAATAAAGCAGCTTACCAAAGCTCTGAAATTCCCGTTTACCAAAATGGGATCCATTTAACTAAAACCCAGAGATGGGGCTCAACTTGCTCAGGGTCACACTGCAAACTGGCAGCAATGCTGAGACTTGAATCTAGGATGTCTTGAATCTAGTCTGGGGTTTTGTGTAGTTGGATGCTTTTCTAGGTGAGGGTGCGGATCGCAGCCTGTGGATCATGACCCCTTTGGGGGATCAAACAACCCGTAAACAGGGATCACCTAAGACCATCAGAAAACACAGATATTTACATCATAATTCATAACAGTAGCAAAATTGCAATTACGAAGTAACAACAAAATAATTTTATGGTTGAGTGTCACCACACCACAAGGCGCACTGGTCTATGGGACTGTGGGGCCGGGGACAGGCTGGACTGTCTCACATTCACTCTCATTGTACAGATCAGGAGGCGATGATGCCACTTGGTGCCGAGCACTGATGGAATATGCCCGGGCATGTGCACAGGCTGGGCGCCCTTTGCAGGGCTGGAGGACCCAACTCCCACAGTGCAGTAGGTGCAGGCTGGAGGTGGGAAGAGAGGGGCTCAGATGACTCCCCGTGAGGGCTGTGAGTGGCAGCCACAGGCCTTAGCTCAATGCCTGTCCTGTTGGCCCACAGCCACAGCTGTCAGAGCCTTAAGCTCTGAGGTTCTGTCCTTGTGACACGCGGGAGATCTAAGGTTGAGCATGAAGGCTGGGACTGCAAAGTAAGATGAAGGTGGTTCTCAGAACACCTGGACTCTCGCCAGTCTCTTGGGCACCAAATAGTCTACCTGGAATTGGAGGATCAGGGGCAGGAGCGTCCTCTCATTCCCATGCCAGGACCTGGTGAGGGTGGGTGCTGGCAAACACTCAGACCACAGTTTTCTTCCGTCCCAAGCTGTGCACTGCACAGAGGAGGCCTTCGTCTACAACGAGTGCATCGCTTGCTGCCCAGCTTCCTGCCAGTCTCGTGCTTCGTGTGTGGATAGCGAGATCGCCTGTGTGGATGGCTGCTACTGCCCCAACGGTTCGCTCGGGGCGGGGCAGTGGGGGCAGGGCAGTGGGGGCTCGGCAGTGTCCTCCTGGCATGGCATGGATCAGTGGGAATCAGGGTCTCGGAGAAAGCCTGTTTGTAGAATGAATGAGCAAACAACCAGACCAACAAGCATCCATTCCTAGTTACTTTTTCCTGTGTTTAATGTCGTGTTTATGATGAATGAGTAACCTGGCTGGTTAGAAAGGTGGGATTAAAAACTGTGCAGCTGGAGCTGGAGAAGCAGCTCAGGGGCAGAGTGCTTGTCTAGTCTGTACAAAGCACAGATACCAGCCCAGCCTGGCTTAAACTGGGCGTGGTGGTGCACAGCTAGCACTTAGGAGGGGCAAACCAGAGGGTCAGACAGTCTAGGTCTACCTAAGGAGTTCAAGGCCATCCTGAGCCACCTGGGACGCTGTCTCAAAAACGCAAAGTGATAGGCGTTGGTTTTAAAAGACAGAGACTGCTTCCAGGATTGAGAAACTCCTCACTCCAGCCTAAGGTAGCGGGAGGCGAAAAAGGCTGCCGCACAGGGTCAGAAGAGATCTGGGGATTCGTGGAATATCGGGGGGCGGGGGAGTAGTAAGAGACCGCATGGCAGGCCTCGAGAGGTGGTGAGAAGTGAGGCTGTGTGTAGTTGAGGTGATGTCTGGAGTGAAGTCTGCCCAGAAGGGGGTTCATGTCCTGCCTGAGCCAGGATTTGGAGTGGGCCTGAAAGTGGGCTCAGAAGAGAAAGAGCTTTGCATATGGGGCTCTTTACCTGAGGCCCTGGGAAGCCACCCAGTGACTGGGAACAGGGAAGGGGTGAGTGGGCCCTTGCTATCACTCCCTAGGGCTGATCTTTGAGGACACGGGCTGCATGGCACCAGCTGAGTGTCCCTGCGAGTTCCACGGGACCCTGCACCCACCTGGCTCCGTGGTGACGGAAGACTGCAATGCCTGGTCTGTGTTCACCGCCTGGAGGGAGGGGTCTGGGGAGGTCAGGGCTTTCTGTTAGACTGCCTCCCTGGGCTTGAGGAGCCCTGAAAAAGCAAGGGCTTCTCACTCAGCCTCTTTGAGATCCAAGAGGATGTCATTAGATCCACGGGGGGGGGAGGGGCGCGACGGAGGTACTCTCTACCACCCACTTCAGAAATGGGACGCTGTGGACTGAAGCCTAGGACAGCGTCTTGGCACTGAGGACAGGAAGGTCACCTTCATGATCTCTGTTTCAGTACGTGCACTGCAGGGAAGTGGGTGTGCAGCTCTTCTGTCTGCCCAGGTACATCTGACCCTTCCCTTGGACCCTGCCCTCTTCTACTTGTCTCATAGGTTTGGAGCAGGGACACTCTGGGGTCATGTATAGTTGGGGGCATTTGTTTTAACCAACTAAACCTGATTCCCTTTATTTCCTCTGTTGCTTTGCCTGCTTAAGAGTTTATTCTGGCCCATGCCCAAAGTGTTACTAGGTCTTGCACACCTCTTTCCTGAACTTAGAGGATTGCATTGAGCCTGGGTCCCATGCCTAAGACCTGGTCTTTCCTCAGCAGGGCTGTCTCTAGCCTGCTCCTGAGCAGACTCTCAGAAAAAAAGTTATTCTAGCCTGTTCAATTCCAGAGGGCAGAGGGCAGATCCTTCCTAGGCTTGGATCCGCAAGGTTGAGACAGACCCCAGTCAGGGAGAGGAACAGTTGTAGGCAGACAGCTTCCACGAGTAAGCTGTCCTTCTCCCTCAGCTGAATGCTCGGTGACCGGTGACATCCACTTCACGACCTTCGATGGACGCCGGTATACATTCCCTGCCACGTGTCAGTACATCCTAGCCAAGAGCCGTTCCTCGGGCACCTTTGCAGTGACATTGCAGAACGCCCCATGTGGCCTGGTAAGGCTGGGTCTGTGTGTTCGCATAAGACTCCCATAGGTCTGGGAGCTTGGGGGAGGACTCCAGGTCTTTCCATGACCCAGCTGCTTGCTGCCTCTGTTCTCTGGAACACAGAACTGGATCCAGAGACAGTTTGAGCCCAGGCCCTCTGCTGGCTGAGAGACCATTTCCCTTCTTGGGCTCCATTTTAAAGCCATCTCTAGAGTGGGTCTAACTCTACTTAATCTTCTGTGCGTCATTGACTTTTACTTTTTCCATGTCTGGAAGACATATTTGTTTGATGAATTCATTTGTCAAACACTGAAAACCTGTTGGGGTTTGAAGCTGTGCTGCGGTCTGAGATTGATCTGTCTTCCAGGCCCAATAGCTTATCAAGCAGGTTCGCGAACTCAAGACCTGCTGCCACAGCCGCTGGGAGAGTGTGGGTGGGGCAGGGTGGGGTCTAGGGTGACTTTGTCTTTTACCTGGCCACAGTAAAAAGGCAAAGGGAATAGGATATGCTTCCTGAAGGAGGAGATCCCTGAGCTGTGTCACCTGTGACCGTAACTGAGCCCATGGCCACAGCAGGTCAGGGCAGGTGTGCATTTGTCTGTCTTGGTACTGACTGCATTGTTCCTGGGCTGACAATGCTGAGCCAATCCCCAGGTCCTCCTCTGGGCTATGCTCAAGCTCCTGTCTGCACAGTAGAACCAGGGCTTCATGCCCAGCCAAGGTGCCCACTCCCACCTGGTATGCTTGTTGTTCTTGCCCCAGACCTTGAATGTGAGCAGACCCCAGCTAGGAGTAGCCTAGGGACAGGCTGGGGACTGTGGATGAGGTGGAGACTGGCTTTCTTCTTCTGTCCTGAGTGACCTCTTTCTTCTCCACTTTTGGCTCCCAATTAACTCAGGAGATCTTGTCTTTTTCTACTTCCCATGTAGATTAGATCTGTGTATGTTCTTACAGCTACTCCAAGCACACACAAAGGTGCTGAACATTACTATCCTCCTCGTTTTTTTGGTGGGCTGTCTTAGAGGCTTGGGGGATTTCATGACTAACTCTTTACCTGCCTCCAAGTTTGGATATTATCACAGTCATTACTCCCACCACATATGCAGTGGGGTGTTTACAGTCTTCGAGGGGTTTTAAAAATCAGCTTTGTATTTTAGAATGGCTTTAGAATGTTACAGCGTTCTTGTAAAGATATGACTCATCCCACACACCTTTTCCCTTGTTAACATTTTGTTACCTAATGCATATTTGGTACTTTCTTTCTTTCTCTTTCTTTTTTTTTTTTTCTGTGATGGAACACCATGGTCACTAGCAGCTTATGAAAGAAATATTTGGGCTTATGGTTCCAGAGGGAGAGTCCATAATGGTGGGGGGAGCATGACAGCAGACAGCAGACAGCAGACAGCAGACAGCAGACAGCAGTGCGTGGGTCATGCCACGTGGGTCACGTGTGAAACGAGCCAAGCCCAGAGTGTAGGTTGCCAGCCGTGGAGCACAGAGCAACAGTGTGCTGCGTGCAGCCTCTGAGTGCCCGGCTGGAGCTGTGGGCGGGGAGAGTCACAGCCCAACACAGCACCATGTGGCTGGTGAACCGGGAGCAGGGGGTGGGGGGTGGGGGTGAAGGGGTAGGGGTGGAGCGTGGACTGGTCCCACAATGAGACGCCAGAGGAAGCAAGGGAGTGGGAGGGGAAACGCGAGTCAAATAATCTCAAGCTGACTCCATAGTGGTGTGGTGGTCTTTTTTTATTAAGGGGGAACAAGAAAGGGATCCAACCTCAAGGTCTGGAGCGCTGGAAGGAGAGAGAGCCGGGCAGGCCGGTGACTTTCTCTGGGTACCCAAAAGTCACTCCCCAGCCTGGTCCAGCCTCCCAAAGGCTATTGGCTGAAGGAGCTTCCCCATCAGAGTATGCCTTTAAATCAGAGTATGGCACTGGCCTTTAAATTTTATCATTTTGAGACAGGGCTTGCACAGTGACTTAGGCTGGCCTGGGACTGTATTTCTGGCAAGGCTTGCACTTGTTACCCTCCTGTGTTAGCTTCCTGAGTAGACTTGTCTTCCTGTTTTGCCTTCTGGTGGGGTACAGGATATGACACACAGCAAAACTCCACGTTAGACCTGCAAAAGGATGAAATCAGAGCTCTGGGTTGCAGCCATGTGAGGGAGCCATGGTTTCCAAGACTAGACTGAACTGTCAGGGAGCTGCCCCTGTGCTGTGTGGACAACTGAGAGTCAATCACCTTGTTCATTATGCTCCTCCACTTCTGCAGCCAACCTTGTCCATTCTGGGCCTGATGCTCTCCCAGATGAGATTACTTTGTTTGACAATCTTGATGTCCTTTGGGGCTCTACTTCTCACTCTGAGGAGCCTGCTCCTCAAGTTGAGCTGGGTCTCTGTCATGGAGGGTTCTGTTTGGGCCACCAGGACAGACTGATATTGCCTGTTGGTCTCTCTTTTTCTCTAGAACCAGGATGGAGCCTGTGTCCAGTCGGTGTCAGTGATCCTGCACCAGGACCCCCGGAGACAGGTGACCCTGACTCAGTCAGGAGATGTCCTTCTGTTTGACCAGTACAAGATCACCCCGCCCTACTCAGACGGTATGGCTCAAGATGGTCCTGAGGGAGCTTGGGAGCTGGGAGCTGATAGATCAGGCCCCTTCCCCAGCTCCTCTACCCAAGGGAACTGTTAGAGGACAACCCCTCACAGGGATCAGCTTAGGAGACATTAGATTAAGAAAGACAGACTCCTAAAATGTGCCTTTGCCCCCACCCCGACATGCCACTGGTCTAGCAGTGTGATGGCTCCTCCTGACACTAGCTCAGGCATGGGGCTCATTCCCATATCTAGACTCCGTACTTATTCTCCCTTCTGATTCTTTAATCCAACAATGAGTTGCAGGAAGCCCATAGGAAACATGTTTAACAGAAAAAACAAAACTACCAAGAAGTAAGATCCAGAACCAGAAAGAATTAATTGGGAAGGGAGAGAAGGAACAGAGAGGTGAAGAGAGAAGACCCATTCTTGGGCAGAGGGAAGATCAGAGCTGAGTCGGGGATAAAACACACACACACACACACACACACACACACACACACACACACACACAGGAATGCAGGCCATCAAAGCTGTGAAGCCTAGGTGCGTATGGAGTGGAAATTGGAGGCAGGGAGCTCAGGAATTCAAGGTCATCCTCGTGTCTGTGGTAAGTTCAAAGTAGCCTAGGTTACGTGAGACACTGAGTCAAAAAACAAAAGATGTGTTGCTATGGAATCTAATCCATCATGATTGTAGTATGGGCTTCCTGAAGATTGTCTTGCAAAAATGAGTCATTTAAGAATTCTTCTTGTTTTAGAACAAGAAATTGCAGTCCTCAGGGAGACCAGGTTGTTATTGGTACCCACTATGTGACATGGTTTGGCAAGCCAGTCCCGAAGCACGGAGTTTCTGCAGGATGAAGCCAGGGGTTGGGTGTGGATGTGGGAGTCGGCCGACAGGTGGCGGAGAGGGCTGGGCTGTACTAAAAAGACTACTGACATCCCGTTTCCCATTTTGCTGGCAGATGCTTTTGAGATTCGGAGGCTGTCCTCCGTGTTCCTGAGGGTGAGGACCAACGTGGGCGTGCGGGTCCTCTATGACCGGGAAGGGTTGCGACTCTACCTGCAAGTGGACCAGCGATGGGTGGAGGACACTGTGGGCCTCTGTGGCACCTTCAATGGCAACACACAGGACGACTTCCTGTATGTGTCCCTGCCCCAGAACAGGAAGGACAGGGAAACCCGTGGGCCCCTTAGGGTCAGGTACCCTGAGGCACTGCCTGGCACACACACTTATTTATTTCCCCACCTTTAAATTGAAGTATAATTCTTTAAAATGGTGGTCATAGTCTTCTCTGTGTAGAAAGATCACTTGGGGAGTTTGCTTAAATACTGATCCCTGGGTCCCACTCTTTAAGAATCTCATATAAGATACTTAGGGCACGAGACCCCCCTTTTCCACAAGTAGGTCCCACAGCTGTAGCCTCTGAGGTAGGTGGGCTGTGTCCTGAGACGTGCTGGCTTTGCTTAGTCTCACGCTGTACTGGTTTCACCAGTTGTGAACACCTTTAGGTGAAGATTAACCCCATAAGCCAAGTATCCCTGCCTTTGGTCCCAGCAGCCCAGTGTACCCTCTTCCTATATGGTGCCTGAGTGCTTTTGAATTTGTACAATGAAAGCCTCCCAGGATTGAGAAGAAGGCCATTTCCCTTGAGCTGATGACAGAGAGTGACTTTCATGGGTGTGGCCACAGTTTAAGTGTTTGGGAGGAGACAGCAGTCAGGCCTTTCAAAGGAGGACAGGATTTGGAGGCTGGAGAGTCTGACCAGTTCTTCTAGATACATGCAATGGCCGATACAGAAAGAAACGCGGGAGGCATCCTGTAGCCAGGAGTTTGGCTTCGCAGTGTGTGCACATGTGCATGTGAAGCTTCCCTGGTCAGTAGGGCTGGTGACTGGGCAGCTGGCCAAAGCGGTGGAGGCAGACGCTGACTTAGTGTGTGTGAGTCCTGCCTTGAGTCGTTAGGTAACTCACTAGCTGGAGCAGTAATGCAGACATGGTGGCTGTCAGGCAGAACCTTGCCTCACACAGACTGCAGGTTCTTTCGCTGTAACACTCACACTGGGTTTTGGTGATTGTCACCACTGGCTGTATTGTGGAAGGATGCTTTGCCTCAGCTTTCCCTCCCCCTCCCCCATGTACGACCCATTTGCTGCCTACCTCCCAGCGGGGACATGGAGAAAGTCAGAGACGGTTGAGGTCTGGTATTCCTATTGCTCGCTCTTTCTTTCTTTCTTTCTTTCTTTCTTTCTTTCTTTCTTTCTTTCTTTCTTTCTT